GGGGGGTCTGGGACTGCTGGGGGAGGGGGAGTCCAAAGTTGCCAGGCTGAGTGTGGGGTGCTGGGCACTGAGTGTTGGGGTGCCTCTGGGGCGGGGGCCCTGTCCCCCCCTGACCCTGGCACAGCACTGAGATCTGTGTCCCCCCCTCCCAGGCACCAGCGAGGGGCAGCCGGGGCTGCGTCCATCCCTGGGGCTGTCGCTGGCACCCTGGAGGGAGTCGAGCCTGGATGGGGCCGGCGGGCAGAGCAAGGTGACCACTTGGGGGTGGGGGCTGGCCACCATCCCCAGCCCCAGTGCCTGACACCAGGGCAGATGGGCAGATGGGCTGGCTCCTTCCCTGACACCTTCTTTCCTCTCCCCTCCTCCAGGATGGTGCTTACGGGGGCCACAGTGCCACGCTACCCCGTAACTACAAGGTGTCCCCGCTGGCGGGCGAGCGGCGGGCGGAGGGACCCTTTCGACGCTCGGGACCCGGCACCCTGCCCCGCAGCTGGCACTTCTCCCAGCAGCCTGTCTCCCGCATCCCCGTGCCCCCCCAGGGTGGGCGGCCCCCCCGCCACAAACCTTTGCCCCTTTCCATGATCTTCAAGCTGCAAAACGCTTTTTGGGAGCAAGGGGTCGGCGGTCCCCGGGGGCTTCCCCTGGTCCCCCCCGCCGGTCCACGTGCACCCCAAAAGCAGCCCCAGCTCCCGGTGCTGCCCCAGGCCCCCCCGGCGCTGACTGGGGGTGAAGGTGAGGTTCCTGTGGGGGGGCTCTGGAGTGGGGAGACATAGGGGTTAACTGGGGTGATCTGTGCGTAGCAGGACGTGGGTTTGGGGGGGACCAGGGGGCTGCAGCATGAGGGGTACAGACTTTTGGGGGGTGGGCGAGGCAATGGGGCTGCAGCACGCTGAGATGGGGGAGTTTGGGGGGGGGGTCCATGGGGTTCTGGTGTGCTGACCCACATAGGGTCACTCCAGGGTGGGAGGTTATGGTGCTGACCCCAGCCCCTGCTCTGACAGGATCTGGGCGCCCCGTGCCCCCTGAGACCGTTCTGCCAGAGGGGGAGCCGGAGCTGGAGCGGCTGCTTCAGGGTGGGGAGGCTGAGGGGTTGGAGCGGCCGCTCAGCCCCACACGGCTGCAGCCCCTGCTGCCCCCCGAGGCCCAGCGGGTCCCCGAGTTCGAGGAGGTGGCACGGGTGCTGGCCGAGATGCCCCGACCCCTCAAGCGCCGTGGTTCCATGGAGCAAAGCCCAGGACCGGCACTGCCACCCAGCCGTACCCGCCAGTACCAGCAGCTCATCACCCGCCTCCTGCACCGCCCGCCCCGCCGCGACGAGCCCTTGGCTCCCGGTGACACCGGTGCCTCGTCTGACCTGCCACCCCCTGCTCCGGCGGCTCCTGAGGCTCGGCCACCCCGCCACAGCCCCCCACCGCAGTCCCCCAGCAGCCCAGCACCTGCCCTGGTAAGTATCTGCAGTCTCTGGGGTGCCACGGTGTCCCATGGAGTCACCCGAGGTGCCACGAGGTGCCCACTGTCCCTTAGAGCCCCACGAGGTGCCACGAAGTGCCCACTGTCGCTTAGAGCCCCCCAAGGTGCCACGAGGTGCCTGGTGTCCCTTGCAGCCCCCCAAGGTGCTGCAAGATGCCCAGCGTCCCTTCGAGTCCCCTGAGGTGCCAGGCAGTGGTTGCTGTCCCCAGGGCTTCCCCCAGTGTCCCCAGAAATGGCAAGCAGCGCCTGGTGCCACCAGACGTGGCCCTGCAGTCCCCATGGGTGCACTGTGGTGCCAACCAGTGCCCCGGGAGGTGTCCCCAAGGTCCCCCGGGTGCCGAAGAGCACTGGGTGCCCCGGGAGGTGTCCCCAAGGTCCCCCGGGTGCCGAAGAGCACTGGGCGCCCCGGGAGATGTCCCTGGGGTCCCCCGGGTACCGTACAGCGCCGGGTGCCTCGTCGTTGTTCCCCAGCCCCCCCTGACCCCCCGGCTGCCGCAGGAGCTGCGCTCGGCCCTGCGCGACCCCTCCTCGCCCCGCAGGCGCCCTGGGGCCCGCGTGCGCCTCAACCCCTTGGTGCTGTTGCTGGATGCGGCCCTGACTGGGGAGCTGGATGTGGTGCAGCAGGCGGTGGCTGAGGTGGGAGAGGGGACCGTGGGGACAGGGCAGTGGGGACGAGGGCTGGGGTGGCGAGGGCTGGGGG